CCCATTACCTCAAATTTGAGAGTTCAGTGTTTAACTGAAAATAACACGGCTGTGCCCACCACTGATCTAATTTGTCTCTCTTTCGTGATGTGCCTTCTTATTGGGGGTTAGTTTCGAAAACTAATATGGCGAGTTCGACTCGTGCTTTTCGCTAGAGACGGAGACTGGACGGTGGAGATTCAAGAACCATCTGGATATTTTGACAAACCCTGCTAACCCAAGTGCTGTGTTTCTTTTTACCCGCAGTGGGAGGAAGGTATGTGATTTGGGGGGAGAAAAACGTTAAACGCACACAAGCCACCTCGGACGTTTAATCAAATAAATTAAGCTACCTTTGCCACGTTCTCGTATAGTTCGAAACAGCTCATTGGAGATTAAGCATGCCTGCTTCGCGAAGGGAATTCTTCTTCGGCATCGATAACCGAAAGTTCTATCTTGTCACACAACCTAGCACTCACAATTATGAGAAAAATGACCGGACGCACACTCGCCACAAACAGACCTTTATGGCGGGTTCAACGCGCATGTAGACACGAGGGAAAACCCAGCCACCTTCTCTGCATGTTTGGTGACAACTCGGTCCAGGCTACTAGAAACCGTCAACCCCTCTACGTTGACATCCGCCAATTACGGCGAGCTTCTTTTTAGACAGCTCGTGAATATCTCTGACTTTGTAGCATTTATGGATAAACAAGCCGGGTCTACATTCTTTAGTTCAGCACGGTTTAATGCCAAAGGGCCAGTCCTGCTCGGCCTTTCCCGCTATAATAAGTATTATGCACCTTTTACAACTAGTCTTAAAAGTGTGATTTGAACGGTTGCCGGACGGCAAAACTAGTAGGTCATCTGGGCTGGGGCAGACTACGGTGATTACGTCCTAATGCGGCATTACGGCAACTCTCGCCATTGTGCAATTTGTCTGGATAATAGTTATGGTGTGATGCGCACGTCCGATGCACGCGCAGAGTGAATGTCTAGTCAGCAGTACGCCCATGATGGGTGAGTGAAATCAACTCGGCGCATTACTCCGTCATTCTAATTCAATAAGCATGCGAGTTAGCTGCAGTGGTGATACTGTCCGGTCAGCCAATGTGGTGGTACGGATCCGTTATTGCCAAAACTGCATACGATATCTTAGAGGACATCATCCGAGGCAATAATTCTGGCAGTGGTTAAGTGGTAACAACCATGTGAATGTATAAATTGTTCGGGGACGGAATACGTCCTATAGGAGTCATTGAAAGCCACGCTCCTCACCGCGCGTGGTAACCACCCCGCTCGGTTCCAACTTATCATGCAGCCCTTATCTGTTGCTCCAATAAGTTGTGCTCTTTGTCGTAGCCACACGCCAGTAACCGCCCTGGGTGGTGATTTAGGCTAGACGAGGGTGGTCGGTGGGTCTTTCCACCCCGCAAACCCGCGTGGCTTGGTCTGTGAAGTCGAGAGAGCGGCCACGGCTATGGAACGCAGACAAGGGGATTCGAACCTAATAGGCCATTGTCCTTTCATATGTAGCTGGCTCAACTCGGAAGTCCTAATGGAAGGATGGAAGTAAGGCATATCCGTCGTTTACATTCTCACCACACTCAGACGTGCTAAGGCCGTGGCAAGGACGACCGTTAATTGATGAGACGACTGGATCCTCAAAAAGGATTGTCAGTTCGCAACGGTCCCTTCTAATCCACTCTTTGGAGCAATCACTCAGGCGTGAAGGCCAAGCGCATGCGTGACAAGCGCCAGACCGAAGCTCAACGTCAGGCCAGCCACAGCCCCCGACTGAAGTGGATAAGTTCTGTGGTAGAGGCGACGGCAATCCCCATGGGCGTCCCAGGCTAACTCATGGTGCACTTTCATAAAACTACTCGCAGTCGCATGAAGTATCTAAGCAGCCCTGTTTATGGAAGCGACGCCTACTCGCGAATGGGTCAGAAAATGTGTTCTGTGAGTGCTGTTTACACTGTCTACAGTTTACCGTAGTTGCTCGTCGCCATACAACCGGCCGAACAAAAAACAAAAATAAAGTTCTCCTCATATACTCTACACATCTCGCTAAGGTAACCTCGGTCACTACAAACTTGCAATGTCCGTACGCTTAGACGGGTCAGTGCCTATGAATTGAATCGATAAAAGGCAATCAACGTTGTCCTCAGCGAAGCCCGTTCCTCCAAACAAGGGCGGTTAAATGGTGTAGGTGCAGGATACTTTTGGCGAACGCAGAAAGCGGGTCGCACCTTGCACGAAAAACGAAAGCTGCCTTCTCTGCCAAGCGGAATCAACGGTCTCCTCACAATAATGACTGGGGGAAATCCGCCCGTGACGTACGCCACCCACCCCAGTGGTGTCGTGGTTACGTGAAGGATAAGCTAAGAGGGCATGCACACCCCCCTTGAAACTGAACCAGCAGCAGACAAAAATGGCCGCTCCCTGCAATTCTGACGAGCGAGCAGACACAGACCACGCCACCCCAGTACTCGGCCATCATGGTGCATGTACCTGGGACAAAAACTGATTTTATTTATTGAAAACCACCGAGAACACTATCTCCCGCCCTCCCAACCACAATAAAACGTGAATATACCGTCACCCGCCCAGCTACTAACCTATGACACACGTAATCATCAGGATTTTCCAGTAGCAAAAGTACTCGAAGACAAGGCTGGAGACGGTCTCAAGGGATGAAATCAACGAAGTCAAACACAGCGGCACCGGGCGCGAACGAAGGCCGGATCTCGGCAACCACGCGAACTTCGATCCGGGGCACATGCAAATGCCGGGGGCTGAGTATGTTGGGAAAAAAGTAAAATAGACTGCAGATTGCGCACATCACCGCAAGGCAGGCACTCGGACGGCTACGTCAAAAGAACTCGAAGACAAGTAGGAAGTCGACGGAGAAATCCAACACCACACTGAAGGGAATCACTTCACGGTACATATAAAGACACCACGGCGGCAAATGCACACAAAATGTCTATGCCGAACCCGAGTGGAAACGGGGTCGCAGGGAATCCAAAGCAAATAGTACTGTTTCGGGAGACGCCCATCAACTGGACGTCCATCTTCCGATGGAACGACCGATTGGCGAGGCAGACGAAATCCAAATATGGACTGGTCACAAATGAAGGGGTCTCTGCAGCCCTGAAGGCAGTAAACGACTCAACACGCGTAGACCATGCCTCTACTCAGCTCGGTTCAAGTGTCTGCAATCGACAAAATCGAAAATTCTGATCCATCACCACTCGCCCAACCTCAGTTTGCAAGAAGCCATCGACCTATACAGCCCCTGACGGTTCAGCCTACATGAAGATGGTGAGGGTTACACGTAGATTAGCCTGAAAGTTCCGGTTGCCTACTCGATCCAGCAAATCTACAGGTGCGTGTGTCCTAAATTGTTAGACAATCTGACTTCGAATTTACAAAAGGACGGGAAAATTACGCCTAGCTCGCTGAACGATACCATTTTATGCCCCCAAACGAGAGGAAACTGACGACCACGCTGATGCTGATAAGATTTTTGTTCGTGTCAGCTTCATCCGACAGAATTTGCGCACGCAGGAATTACTCCCTCAAAAAAATGCAGTGCAGGCTTCAAGGATGCTGTTCGCCAATTACAAACCAGACGCCAGAAGGACTGACTTCCACGCCACAACAGTCCCAACAAGGCCTTTGACGCCGCGAAGACGTGCTCTGGAGTACTCCTCGACGTCCTGACGTACATGCAAAGGGCCAGGTAACTATGTCAACATGCGTCACGAACGGCGCGGCAGGAATGACATGATACAAACCCACGGCAAATTTTCTGTGACGGAATGCGTAGACAGAAGAGCATTGTTGACAAAAACAAGGAAGACTGGAATGGTTGTTTCCGGCTTATCAGCCGTCGTCAGTCAGCCATGCCCAACCCTGGGGTTTGAGGCTGTGACCTGTTGGCCGGAAGTTCAACGTCCATAACCAGCAGGCCACGGGCTCGTTACCCGGCCGGTTGCGATCGGGCACATATAAACCTGTGGTTTATGCAAGAACACGGCGCGAACCCCGTTCAGGGGGGCGGCCTCACATTGACAATTAAGATCTGTCAGCCGGGAAATGCCAGAAATGCGTTATAAAATTCTTTAGTCAGGGCTGAAGAAATGAATAAAAGGATTCAGTGCGTACGACGCCACGAAGTTGCCAAAACAGGAGACAAAAAACTAGCTCGCGGAGACCCTACCGCATAAAATATAATGACGCATCACGACGGTCTTAGAATTAAGAACGAAAAACACCAGGACTGAAAATCCGTCTCAACACAAGTAAATAATCCCAGACACGCTCTGTTTGTTCGAACAACCTCCGGTCATGTGACACCTAAAACCTCCCGAAGGCGAGACAGGCATCTTAGGAGCACCAAGTTCTCATCAGAACGCACATGCTGCCCACGCAAACCTTGACAACGAGGGGAACACCGACAAGAATATGCATCTCGAATAGCTAATCTATATCAAGAAATCGCGACAGTCGAAACCAAGGAGTCCAGGAGAGGACATATTTCCAAAAAACCGAATCCGGGCTGGTAGGCTCAGATAGAATTTTAGGGGGGCGACCAATACACATTCAGAAATTCTAAAATAGCAGCTGTAGCTAGCTTAGACACTTGCACGTGGGAAACGCCGGCCCGGTCACAAATAGGGCAAAAAGAGCCCGGACATGAAAATTTAGGAGGATAAACGCGAATTATAGAACGGGTTAGTGTTTGGCGTTCGTCTACCGACTTGTTCTTTAAAAGAAACAAAGACTAGGGCCAAGAGGTTTACACACCGGAACGCGGACTACGAACGACAAGCCGTAGTCCGTTGGAAAAGCTGGAATTTGGCTTGTGTCGAGACGCTAATTTGCCCTAATGTCGCGGGGCCGCAATGAGGACATACGACAGGTTGAAAAACTCGTAACGTACTAAGCACTATTCAAACTTAGTCATCAAAAATTCTGTCGGTCAACCTTCACTTGTTATATTTCAAAACCAATCATTTCTTAGCCGGTTTCTTTGCTGCTTTCGGCTTCGGGGCCTCCTTAGGTGCAGATGGAGTGGGGAGTTTTGGTGGTGGAGCGGGAGTCTTAGAAGTAGGGATCTTAGGAAGAGGAGCCGTCTTGGCTGACTTCGGGTGTGTCTCCTGCTTCGAATGTTCCGGCTTCGTTGATGTTGAAGGCTGGGTTGCAGTCTTAGGGGCGGCTTCTTTCTGTTCCACGACCTTGGGCTTCGGCTGCTCAACATGCACGGGCTTCGGTTCTTCTTTTGCGGGTTTAGGAACGGCAGTAGGGGCTGGAGCCGGGGCAGCAGCAGCAGCCTGAGTAGGAGCAACTGGAGCAGCAGCGGGCGCGGCAATGGCCTGTAGCATCTTCTTTCGGCGTTCAACTAACCGCTGTTCACGCCTGACTTTTGCTTCGCGCTTTCGCTGCCGCATTGCCTCCGCCTGGTCGCTCAGCTGCTTGCTACGAAGACGCTCAGATTTCTTCTTGTGGATGTGATCGATGAGAACGCGCTTGTTCTTGAAAATGTTGCCTTTACATTGTTGATACAGCTGATGGTACCTAACATGGGATAACAAAAAATGACCAACACCTACAGATGCTTGTCAATTTTCCTTGATGCTCTGTAACGTTTGAGTAGTCTTCGAAGAACACGCATGCGCCTCATCCACAGGACCTTCTGTGGCATTCGAGCATCGGCGGTACCTTTTCGCTTACCCGGGCCAGTGTGTCTACCGAGACGGCGCGCGAGCAGGTGTCGACGGGCTCGCGCTCGAGAGTGCACGGTCACAGGTTTACGGATAATCAAGTTATCCTTGAAAAGTTTACGGATAAGATTTCTCGAGTTGGCAGATGCAATGGTCGAGTTTTCGTTCGGGTCCAGCCATATTTTCTTCTTTCCACATCCTAACACCGCGGCCGCGAGGCGCTTTTGGCAGCGCAGGTTGCTAAAATACGCACGTAATAAATTATACGAGTAAAGGAAGCTTGAGAGCCGAGGAGCAATGGACTCACCTCATTATCGTGGGCGACAACAAAAACCACGCTCACACAAGTGGGGATGACTAAAACAAGACTCGAACACGAGTGGATCAGGGTCCATATTTTCAAAGACTTGTTACTCGGCTCCCTGACTAGGGTCCGTCCCTTCTCTACAACCTAAATGCAATTTTAAATAGGACTACAAATTTTATCAGAATCTAGTAGAAGCCTTTAGGAGAATAAATCTAGAAAGAGTAACAATTGGTTATACACAGTTTCCTTTCACGCTGGCTGCGACCGGAATATCAGTCTGCTCACTGAGTAAATTCAAGTAGACTTTCTATAGGGATCCAGATGAGGCTCGAATGGAGATCAATATTGAGGTTTTCTACAAGCATTTATTGAAGACAAGTTAAAATGGCGAGAGGGAAGTCAAAGTAGAGGAAGATAAAGCCCAAGCATTGCTGAAAAAAACTGAATTGTATTTATCATGATAGTTAGCGTTCTGAGCAACGGTTACATCTTTTCCACATGAACCTGCATTTGCAATGGCAGCTGTCATCCGACTGATCTGCTCCTGTTTCGAATTTTATAGATAGGCGCACTTTTATCACGCCATCTCCGCGATCGTTGGTTTTCGTCCGCTATATGTTTTGGGACCTGTAGTGGTCAGCCATCATGGCCGGTCTGGCGTCATTGTTCAAGACCTCGCTGCCTCAAGGTCATTCACCCCTTGCAGCGAGCCGTCCCAGAGGAGCTGACTTGAAGTCACACGACCAACAGCTCGGACATATCTGCCTCCGCGCAGTCGCAGCTGCCCATGCGGCCACTTGAACGCGCCAACCCCTGAAACCAGCAAAACAAGCCACTGCGACACCATCCCTCGGCAAATGCAACACGCGCTGACTGGACACCACTTGAGCTTGGCCTACGAGCCTACAAAGGCGGCTGCCACCACTACATCAGGGACTCTCAGGCCTGACTGGACGCAGTCAACATCAGCCCTGGCTTCGCCAGTGGCCACTTTTGCCTGGAGGACAACTCCGGGTTCTGTGCACAATAAACCCCTCATTCTGGTGCCCTCTGTCTTCCCCTTCCAATCTGGGATTTGACTTGATAATTGTAGCGCTCAGAGCACTTATTCTCTCTGCTGTGTCACTACAGACCTCCCGCGTGCGCCTAAGACACCATCACTCTCTGGCCTCAGCTTGCCTTGCGGTACCGCCGATGCTCTTTAAGCGTTCGTAATATTCTTTTTATTCCGTTTACTCTTTCTTTCTGCTCTTTGTCATGTTCAAGCAGGAATAATAAATGGCAGAAAGAAAGCGAATAAGTAAGTATGCGGACAAACCGTTTTCCGAGATAAACGAGGCAGTTAACAAGGGCCACCATTTTAATGAAGTCTGTCCGTTTTTTAGATAACGTTATATCTTGCGCATTTTAATTAAGGCGAAGGGAGTGCCCCGTGCTCTCAAATATAAAAATCGTCTGGACATCCTTCGAATATGCGCGTCGGGAATGGAAGGTGGACGCTGCAGGCGCAAATAACACCCTTATCGCACTTTTGGCTGCCCTTTGACACTGTGAAGATGGTTTCAGCGAGGAGGTCATTAGGACTCCCAGGTCTTTCTGTTCCAGTCCCTTTCACATGTTGTGGAACAGAAAGACCTGGGAGTCCTAATGACCTCCTCGCTGAAACCATCCTCACAGTGTCAAAGGGCAGCCAAAAGTGCGATAAGGGTGTTATTTGCGCTGAGGCGAGGATTTGTGCAGATCGACAAGGAGCTGTTCGGAAAAACCTATGGGGCCTTCGTCCGGTCTCACTTAGAGCATGCGGTCCAGGCCTGGCGACCGTGGTTAAAGAAAGATTATCAACGACTGGAAAGAGTACAGGCGATGGCTACGAAGATGGTCAAGAATCTTCATCATTTGCCTTACGAAACCAGGCTGACTGAACTAAATCTGTTTCCTCTAAATTACAGGCAACTGCGCGGCGATCTCATTCAAACCTACAGGATTGTCAGAAGCCGTGAGTGTGCCCTAGATTTTGATGAATTCTTTGAATTGGCCCGGACTGACCGTCTGCGTGGTCATCCGTTCAAACTGCAAAGGAAGCGGGCTCATTCGGACGTCCGACGGAACGCCTTCTCACACAGGGTCATCGGGGCATGGAATGGACTCCCTGATGCAGTCGTTCTTTCCGAAAGTGTTAAATCCTTTAAGTGCAGACTAGACGCTCACTTGTTGAGAACCTACTGTACATACAATCATGATTGTTTTAGTGGCGGCAGTTTGCGCCTGGCTCACACATACAGCTAACTTCTTAACTTTTCGCATTTGCTGATGTAATTGATGACTTTATTTCTGTTTATCGACATGAATAGGGTGCTCAAGGGCGAAAGCCTCATTCCCTCAATAAACTGACTTAAACTGACTTAAAGGTGGTCGTAGAGACAGGGCAACCACCCAGATCCCCATAACGAATAACGACTTTTTGCAGTCATAGACAAAGGTATGAACCGTTCCGGTGGAAAACGTCATCGAAAGCAACCAAAAGGCGAAACTTTCCTCCCATCACCAGTAGACCACCAATGCTCACATCCTCTTACAAGTACTGATTTCGATGCAGTAGGCATGGCCTCTAACAACTTATCCACGGCTGACTGTTTTAGTGCTGTTAGTAATGAGCTATGCGCTGTTGCTGATTTGTTTTCACTGAGACGACTTCTGTTCAGATGCTAACGAATCCATTAGGCATGTATTAGCTTGAATCAGCCTTCATGAGGCGTCTGCAAAGTCAACGGAACGTCTACGTTAGATAATCATAGATTTGCGACTGTCTAACGACATCGCTAGTTGAATTTATTCCTTTTCAGAATACACGCGCCTTTCGAATTCGGTTTGAAATTTCGACCTCCGAGGGATTTGCTTTTTCCGGGATTTCTGCCTACTGGACGCTCTGTGGGCCCATTTGGATTAAGAAATTGAAGCGTAATCAGCAATTCCTCGAACGATCCACTCAGAACTCCGACAGAACTTACTTTGGGACGACCATACTCCTTCGTATCAATTCTCTGCCAACAGCACCGCGGGGTTCTCCAGATCCAGAAGCGGCTGAGTCGTTTGATATTTACTTCATATTTTTGGCTTGGTTAAAAAGCTTCTCCTACACCTTTACATACTTCGCCCATACCTAGAATCCCTTGCGTATCGTTTGAATTAATAATGGGAGTCGAAAAAACACCATCAGGACAGTGCGAAAAACTCGCCGCAAGTGGGATTCGAACCCACTTCCAGTCGTACGGTTACCAGCGACATGACCGCTAGACTATGGGCGCACGCCCAGCCGACTGAAATAAATAAGGGAGTAAACATTATTCGTAGTACAAACGACACTATGTATGAAGGAAAGTCAATTGAGAAGGCCTTGCCACCTAGGATTAGCGCTCGCTCTCTTTATAGTTACAACCAGGGACCCGCAAAGCGCGCCAAAAGCGTTATCACAGCAAAACCTGTTAGTTACGAGGACGAGCCGTGCACTGGATGCTCATTTATTCTGCTGAAAGTCCAAAAACTCGAAAAAGAGTTGACTGCTTTGAGGGAACTCGTGCAAGCGAACGATAGTGTGCAAAACGCGGTGAATAGCGCTAAAGTTAGCAAGAAAAAGGGAAAGAGCAAAACTCTAAAACAGCCAAAGAACAAAGAATGTGGATAACCTCTGTGCAAGAGCGCCGATACCCAGGACGATGGGAAAATAGCAACGGAGTCTCTTGTTTCTATGGGAGACAACCCAAGCGAGCCATCAACTTCTCTCAGCCATTCCGCGTGTTCAATAGGGCCCTCAGTTGGAAGTGAGGAAACAAGCTCATGGCAAGATGGAAAGGGTAAGCGCCACGACGGGAGTATAGAACCCCAGACGACTCCGGTTGATCTTCTGAGACCTTCAGCTGACAAGGCCACCGTAAACAGAAAAAATGAACCCCTTGATCGTCAGCACTGCGTAGTCGTCCAGGGTCTATCGGAGTCGGATGCTCCTACCCCGAAGGAGAGGATCTCCGCTGACCTTAATATGCTTCAACACCTACTGAACGAAATGCTTAATTCGAATGAAAAGATAACCATTTGCGCAGCCTTCAGGATCGGAAAGAAGGTGAGCGAACAATCAGAAACGGTGCGGCCACGACCTCCGAAAATTGTTTTGAACAGTAAAGAGGAAGCTAGCTTACTTCTGTCCAGGAAAAGCAGCCTCCGAAACTTTCACAAGGAAGTTTTTTTTTCAGCCGGACTATTCTCCAGCGGAACGTCTGAAACGCCGCGAATTGGTAACGGAGTTGAAGAGGAGACTTGCAGCGGGAGAGAGCAACTTGGCCATTTTCAGGGGACGAGTAATACAGAGGAACGCGATGTTGTTTTGGAACCAGCCGGTCATCATGATGGCGGCAGCAACATAATATTGGCAAACCCGAGACAAACCGAACGAAGCACTGTCGAATGTTGCAAACTAAAATTCTTTTACACCAATGCTCAGAGTCTGTTTTCCAAGCTTGACGAACTGAGAATACAGGTAGCCGATACTCTTCCCGATGTTATAGCAATAACAGAAACGTGGCTGTCAGAGGACGTTGGCGATTGCGAGGTAGCATTAACAGGATACCATTTGTTTAGGAGAGACAGGAGAGGCCGCCGGGGTGGAGGAGTTGCCATGTATGTCAAGAGCAACTTAGCAGTGTGTGAGAGGACCGACAAGATTTCTAACGACACAGAGGCAATTTGGCTGACTATAAAGGCGCGGGGATCTCAGTCCCTCGAAGTCTTAACTATCTACCGGCCCCCGCAGGCGGATCCCGACCCAGATACTTGTCTACTGAAAAGCATAAAAGAGATCGCCAGCCGACCAGACGTTGTTATCATGGGGGATTTTAATGCACCATGCATTCAATGGAGCGATATGCATGCGAAATGCTCGATGAATACCTTCGATTACCATCTACTAAAGACGACTCTAGAAGCTCTACTCACGCAACATGTCCTGTTTCCA